ATCCCGGTAAAGTTAGGGCAATTTCCCAATTTCCAGTTCCTAAAACTGTTAGACAACTTAGACAATTTCTTGGTATGTCCGGATGGTACCGTCGATTTATCGATGATTATGCTACCATTACATTTCCTGTGACAGAATTATTGTCGAAAAGAAAAGCATTCGTTTGGACAGAAGAGGCACAAAAGTCATTCGAGACAATTAAAAACAAATTGACATCAGCACCCATTTTGGTACACGCGGACTTTAATAAACCCTTCATAGTCCAATGTGACGCTAGTACTTTTGGTATTGGAGCTGTTCTAGCTCAACTGGACGATAATGGCATCGAAAGGCCAATTGCATTCATGTCCCAAAAATTGAACAAGGCCCAGAGGAATTATTCCATAACAGAACTGGAGTGTTTGGCTGTCATTTTGGCAATAAAAAAGTTTAGGGCATACATTGAGGGTCATGAATTTAGGGTGATCACCGACCATGCCAGTCTCAAATGGCTCATGAGACAAAAAGATTTATCTGGTCGATTGGCAAGATGGTCACTGAAATTACAAGGTTTCGACTTTACCATAGAACATCGAAAAGGTAAAGATAATGTTGTTCCAGATGCTTTGTCGCGTTCCTTTGATGATGATGAGACGGTTGCCGAAATCGATTTACAGATACTACCCTCTATTGATCTGAATTCACCAGCCTTTGACTCACCTGATTATACGACATTGCGTGACGAATTCTCTAAATCATATTTACCTGATTATCGTGTAGTTGACAAATTTATATACAAGAGGACAAATTTTACATCAGGAAACCTCGACGAATCTGATAATTGGAAATTATATGTTCCTCGAGAGTTATGTAAAGACGTTATTTTTCAGCTCATGATGTTCCAAATGCAGCTCATGGTGGTATTGCCAAAACTGTACATCGAATTCGACAATATTTCTACTGGCCTAAATTAGTCGCCGATGTCAAAGATTATGTTTTAAATTGTTCTTCGTGCAAGACATCGAAAGCTCCAACAACTTCACTTAAACCACCTATGGGTCAAATGGTGGAGACTGTAAGACCTCTACAACGGTTATATATTGACATAATTGGACCTTTTCCACGTACTAAAAATGGAAATATAGGAATCTTAATAATATTAGATCATTTTACAAAATTTACATTCTTGAAACCCTTGAGGAAATTTATAACGAAACCAATTGTCGAATATCTTCGGAACGAAATATTTTGTTGTTATGGTGTTCCTGAAGTGATAATTTCAGACAACGGAAGCCAATTTAAATCATCAGAATTTAAGAAGCTGGTTGACAAATATGGTATTGAACATCAATTTACTGCAATACATAGTCCCCAATCGAACGCGAGCGAAAGGGTAAATAGATCAATAAATGAAGCTTTACGTTCTTATTGTCGTAATGATCAACGCCAGTGGGATGAGTTTTTACCAAGTGTGAATTGTGCTATCCGCAGTAGCATCCATCAAACTACAGGACGAACTCCTTACGAACTTTTATTCGGACAGACAATGATAACGCATGGACAGGACTACAAAATTTTACGGAACTTGAAACTTTTAGAGGAAACGGACACTGAACTGGAAAGACAGGACCACTTTACATTACTACGTGACTCTATTCGGACAAAGATTAAGGAGGCTTATGACAGAAACGTCAAATCATACAACCTAAGATCTCGAAAACGCGAATTTAATATCGGTCAAATAGTCATACGCCGAAATTTCGTCCAAAGTTCTTTAGCTGATAATTTTAATGCTAAATTGGCACCTATAGGTGTTAAAGCAATCGTACGGAAAAGAATTGGCAATGTAAACTATGAACTTGAGGATGTACACGGTGGTCATACAGCAGTTTATCATATTAAGGACATATGGGTATGATTTTTTTTTTTTTTTTCTTTTTCAAATTCCAAAACACCTTGTCACCTTTTTCAGATAAAATTCTGCAGCCTGCTTTGCTTTTCATCTGTTTTGTGAGGGTGTCTGCGTTGGTTTTAGTATAATTAACCTTGAATGAGAATACTGAATTTTATTTATTTTGATTTCTTTGTTTTTTTTTTTAGTTAGCCATGAAATTTTAATTTCTAAATATTCTTCAGAAAAAAAAAAAATATTTTTTTTATTCATTTGAAAAAGTTTGTTGAATTGAATAGTTTGAATAGTCACTAACGTCTGTAATTTTATTAAAATTATTTATTCAATTATAAAAAAAAAAAAAAAAAGAACAAAGCCAAAAACTATCGGAATATTTGGGGCAAATTTTATCATAGATTCTTAAGGTAAGATTTTTATAGGATTGATGGTTAATATTAGTCTTAATTGTATTTTTTTTATGGTATAGATCTTGTTTCGTTTATTGGAGAGACATTGACTGCATTTCGTTGTATCAAACAATTGTTGAAAAATTGAAATCACTTCAAGACCAAAAATTTTAGAATAAAACTAGTTTGAAGGAAGGGAAGGTCAAGATTGGCAATTGGTTTGAATATTGCAGCGATTGTTGTGCATAATTTTTAAATTACGTCTTCCCTATAAGGGAAGATACAAACCCCAGGACAATCTACATATAAGGTGACCAGATCTTTAAATATTTTCATTGAAACTGCTTCCGAAGATCTGTTTGGTGAATTATCCAATTACCATCCAAATTGCTTTATAATTGATCAAAACTTCAATTCAGTTTTTGTATTTTCACTTACGTAAATCAATAATCGCTTATTGTTTTCAATCCTGATCCAAAATTTCAATATTATAATTTACTTGTAAATCTGAATTCGGCTATTCATTGATTTTGCATGAAATTTCACTTAACTTAAATTACTTTAAATTTCGAAAATCTTTATTTTAAAACCAATTTTGGATCATATTTTGAAATTTAATCAAATTTTGTTATAAATTACTTATTTTGTCAAGTTAATTAGTTGAATTCATACGGTCACCTTAATTAATGTTTATATAAATTAATGTAAATCCTAAAAATATGCTACACTAAAATTACACTTAAAACACTTAGTCAATTCCAACACCTAATCACAATTCATTACCTATAATATGGATTGTATCTTAAATAGTTAATAAACACTTCAATTTTGATACAATCCATACATAATTATCTAATAATACTATCCCAACTCATATAAACTATAATAATTGTGAGTGTTATAATAAACCGTCACCTGTCATCCGGCGCCTGCTGACATCGATGGATAATAAACAAATGTAAGTTGGATTTTGATTTTATTGTTTCATTATCAGTCATTTTAAATCCACTCTCAATTTTAAATACACACATACATACTTATAAAGTAATATGAACAAAATTATCATTATATTAATTTTTCATTTTGCAACCAGAGTAGCCATTGTACATTAATTTGTATGTAATTAATATTTAATTTAATATATTAAGTGTTCATATTATTTTTATTACAAAATCCCTAAATTTGATAATTTAATATTATAACATTTTGAATACAAAGTCACCTTATATCATGATATTTTCTTAAATAATTTCTTTTGAATAAAATTTCAATATAAAATTTCCATTTGCCTAAATTAAGGTGACCACCTTTGATTTTTTTAAATACATATATGTATGTAATAAAATTTAATTAAACTAATTCATTTAACTTTAACTTTACTTAATTATTATCATAATTTAATTTTAATAAATATTACAATATATAATTATAATATTCAATATGAAATCATAAATTTTGTTTATTATCATGAAAAGTTAAGTCAAGGGTATGGGTTAGGTTGATTTAGTTATTTTTTTTTGTTTATTTTTATTGGGCTGACAATCAACTCTAATATTTGTCAGCATGGAGGGAGGGCTTTGGAAGAGTGTAGCAAATACCATCAACAGCTACACTAATACCTTTACCGCATCTTCTTCATCTCTTGTCTTTGTGGATCATTTATTTAAGTAGCTACCTAAAGTAAAGTCTATGTAATTGATTCATTTATAGTATTTTTTTTTTTTGATATGAGAACACACCTCACCCCCCCACCGACGAGCACGGCCGTAATATTAGGTAGCATCGTTCTCATAAACAAACCACCTTATGACAGAATCGTTACACATTCAGCTGATTAAAACTGATTTAAAAATAAAAAATATTTATTTAAATGCCATTCAGCTGATTAAAACTGATTTAAAAAAATATATTTATTTAAATGCCTAATTTTGTAATTCAGCTAGGAAAATTGTAATTCAGCTGAGCAACAATCATATTTTAATGTTAAAAATAGAAATTTTCAATGAGATTACAATTCAGCTAAACAAGAACTTAATTCTGCTAAGTAACATTTTTGATTTTTATTAAATTTCTTCAATTTGGCAACCGAAAACTCAATTCAGCTAACAAAAATTGTTGAATAATACAATATTGTTGGTTAAATTTCATTGGTTTCACAATTCAGCTGAACAAAAACTTAATCATCTATAATATTACAATTCATCAAATAAGTTTACAATTCAGCTAAACAATAATTTTATTCAGCTATGTAAAATTGTTGAAATTATTGATGTTTATATATATATATTTTTTTTTCATTCAGCAACCGAAAACTCAATTCAGCTTACAGAAATTGTTTTATAATACAATATTTTCGTTTAAATGTAATTAATTTTACAATAGTTTTACAATTCAGCTGAACAAAAACTTAATCATCTATAATATTACAATTCATCAAATGAGATTACAATTCAGCTAAACAAGAATTTAATTCAGCTATGTAAAATTGTTGAAATTATTGATGTTTACAAATCTTTTTTAATTCAGCAAACCGAAAACTCAATTCAGCTAACAAAAATTATTAAATTATATGATATTTTTGTTTAAATTTCATTAGTTTTACAATTCAGCTGAACAAAAACTTAGTTCATCTAATGAAATCACAATTCAGCAAAGTAAAATTTTTCAAATTATTAATTTTTATAATTTTTTTTTCTGAATACACTCAATTTACAAACACTTACCTTGCAGTCTCTCATTGGCATCACTAAAATCACACATACTCCGCAGACCATCTTCCAGATAATAGCGCTCACTCTGATAATTACTAGCCTCCGAACCCAATGGCAAACCTCGTATGGCATTACCCAAATATAAAGCATCCATTTTCTTTTCCAAATAATATTGAGCATTGCGACCATTGCCATTAGTAGAGGCCCCCACCGGTACAGTACCACGACCATTTTGATGGCGTGTCAAGCGACTGTTGGTAGTGCCAGGAGCAGCATCACTTGAATCCTCTGTATCGGCACTATTACTATGTAGTACATAGGCACTAGGCCCCCGTTCATGGCGTCCATATTGTATTAAGTGTTCGAGGGCTAAAAAATTACGCTGTTGATTGGCATTAACGCCCACACATAGATTTGATCTCTGCTGCTGTTGGACCGTACGTCCTACCGAGGCTGAGCTGGGCAATACCGTGGAACCATTTAAGGGATGCTGTCGTCCTCTCAATTCAAAAGTGGCTGCTTTATGCTGTATAGGCTGGGGTTGATCTAAAGAACTTTGTGACGATGATCGTGAGAGATCATACAATTGAGCAGTCACCTGCCTTTCTTGTGTGGTATTTTTGGCACTTTGTGTTGAATCCTCTAAATCTCCTCTCAGGCCATCGACAGTATCTCCCTGTTGCGAAACCGAGCTGGTGTGATAAATGATATCCGTATCGGTGTCTATACTAAGATCGGGAGATTTACGAGACATTTGATAAACTTGAGGATCCAGAGGACTTGAACTTAAGGGATGATGAAAGGTAGACTGATGTAGACCATTCAAAGAGTCCATCACCGCATTGCTAGTACGTCCCAACGAGGCCAACGGACATTCTAAACTTGTAGGCGCTGCAGCGCGTCTAGCTGTTTGATGAGACATTCTTATAGAGTTGCTTTACAAGATTACTCCATTAAATCTGCAAATAAAGTAATAAAAAAACGAATGGTTAAAAAAAGTGCTATAAAACGTTGGCAGTGTTTTCAATAATTTGTTAAACAAATTGCATTACATATGTTAAGCTGTTTATTTTTAAAGGAATTTACTAAATTAAAAAGTCATTACCAACCGTAAGAGGAATAATAATAAAAAAAGAAAAAAAATGGCAAAAAACTAAGTAAAGTAGTAAAAGAAAAACTACTCAAGGAGTACGAGTATGAAACTAGCATGAGCAGGCAATTGTGGTAGTTTTGAGAAGAAGTTGAAGAAACAAAATCATTTAAATCTGTTTTTTTGTATTGCAGATTTTGTTGTTGTTGTTATTGCTGCTTTTTAGAAATGTCTTCTTAAGATGCCAACTCATAAATATTAAACTCTATGCATATGCACACCACACTTCCTAGTAATGCATCAGGCAATAAGGAAACAATATATTGTATCGATATCACTTTTGACACTTTCCAACGACAGCTTACTAAAAACAAGATCCAAAATGTTCTTCATATGTGTATGTGTGTTTATGGAGTGTAAGTAAACTGTTGTTGCTGCTGCAGCAGTTGCTGATGTTGGTGATGACGACGATGATTCTTATTGCTGCTGCTTAAAAAAAATATGGCGGTTGGCGGATTTTTAGACCTAGCACTATGGGGCTGCGAAAGTTTTTTTGGGCTTGGAATTGCGAAAAGTTTCCTAGACGAAAATAATATTTGCGAAAACTTTTCTGTACGAAATGTTTTCCTTGAACTAGAAATGAACTAGAACTTAACTAGAACTGAACTACTGAACTAGAACTGAACTAGAACTGAACTAGAACTGAACTAGAACTGACTAGACTAGAACTGAACTAGAACTGAACTAGAACTGAACTAGAACTGAACTAGAACTGAACTAGAACTGAACTAGAACTGAACTAGAACTGAACTAGAACTGAACTAGAACTAAACTAGAACTAAACTAGAACTGAACTAGAACTGAACTAGAACTGAACTAGAACTGAACTAGAACTGAACTAGAACTGAACTTGAACTGAACTAGAACTGAACTAGAACTGAACTAGAACTGAACTAGAACTGAACTAGAACTGAACTAGAACTGAACTAGAACTGAACTAGAACTGAACTAGAACTGAACTAGAACTGAAATAGAACTGAAATAGAATTGAACTAGAATTGAACTAGAATTGAACTAGAATTGAACTAGAATTGAACTAGAACTGAACTAGAACTAAATTAGAACTGAACTAGAACTGAACTAGAACTGAACTAGAACTGAACTAGAACTGAACTAGAACTGAACTAGAACTGAACTAGAACTGAACTAGAACTGAACTAGAACTGAACTAGAACTGAACTAGAACTGAACTAGAACTGAACTAGAACTGAACTAGAACTGAACTAGAACTGAACTAGAACTGACTAGAACTGAACTAGAAACTGAACTAGAACTGAACTAGAACTGAACTAGAACTGAACTAGAACTGAACTAGAACTGAACTAGAACTGAACTAGAACTGAACTAGAACTGAACTAGAACTGAACTAGAACTGAACTAGAACTGAACTAGAACTGAACTAGAACTGAACTAGAACTGAACTAGAACTGAACTAGAACTGAACTAGAACTGAACTAGAACTGAACTAGAACTGAACTAGAACTGAACTAGAACTGAACTAGAACTGAACTAGAACTGAACTAGAACTGAACTAGAACTGAACTAGGAACTAGAACTGAACTAGAACTGAACTAGAACTGAACTAGAACTGAACTAGAACTGAACTAGAACTGAACTAGAACTGAACTAGAACTGAACTAGAACTGAACTAGAACTGAACTAGAACTGAACTAGAACTGAACTAGAACTGAACTAGAACTGAACTAGAACTGAACTAGAACTGAACTAGAACTGAACTAGAACTGAACTAGAACTGAACTAGAACTGAACTAGAACTGAACTAGAACTGAACTAGAACTGAACTAGAACTGAACTAGAACTGAACTAGAACTGAACTAGAACTGACTAGAACTAAACTAGAACTGAACTAGAACTGAACTAGAACTGAACTAGAACTGAACTAGAACTGAACTAGAACTGAACTAGAACTGAACTAGAACTGAACTAGAACTGAACTAGAACTGAACTAGAACTGAACTAGAACTGAACTAGAACTGAAATAGAACTGAACTAGAACTGAACTAGAACTGAACTAGAACTGAACTAGAACTAGAATTGAACTGAAATAGAACTGAACTAGAACTGAACTAGAATTGAACTAGAATTGAACTAGAACTGAACTAGAATTGAACTAGAATTGAACTAGAATTGAACTAGAATTGAACTAGAATTGAACTAGAATTGAACTAGAACTGACTAAACTAGAACTGAACTAACCTAGAACTGAACTAGAACTGAACTAGAACTGAACTAGAACTGAACTAGAACTGAACTAGAACTGAACTAGAACTGAACTAGAACTGAACTAGAACTGAACTAGAACTGAACTAGAACTGAACTAGAACTGTACTAGAACTGAACTAGAACTGAACTAGAACTGAACTAGAACTGAACTAGAACTGAACTAGAACTGAACTAGAACTGAACTAGAACTGAACTAGAATTGAACTAGAATTGAACTAGAATTGAACAAGAATTGAACTAGAACTGAACTAAACTAGAACTGAACTAGAACTGAACTAGAACTGAACTAGAACTGAACTAGAACTGAACTAGAACTGAACTAGAACTGAACTAGAACTGAACTAGAACTGAACTAGAACTGAACTAGAACTGAACTAGAACTGAACTAGAACTGAACTAGAACTGAACTAGAACTGAACTAGAACTGAACTAGAACTGAACTAGAACTGAACTAGAACAGAACTAGAACTGAACTAGAACTGAACTACTAGAACTGAACTACAACTAGAACTGAACTAGAACTGAACTAGAACTGAACTAGAACTGAACTAGAACTGAACTAGAACTGAACTAGAACTGAACTAGAACTGAACTAGAACTGAACTAGAACTGAACTAGAACTGAACTAGAACTGAACTAGAACTGAACTAGAACTGAATTAGAACTGAACTAGAATTGAACTAGAATTGAACTAGAATTGAACTAGAACTGAACTAAACTAGAACTGAACTAACCTAGAACTGAACTAGAACTGAACTAGAACTGAACTAGAACTGAACTAGAACTGAACTAGAACTGAACTAGAACTGAAATAGAACTGAAATAGAACTGAACTAGAACTGAACTAGAACTGAACTAGAACTGAACTAGAATTGAACTAGAATAGAACTAGAATTGAACTAGAACTGAACTAGAACTGAACTAGAACTGAACTAGAACTGAACTAGAACTGAACTAGAACTGAACTAGAACTGAACTAGAACTGAACTAGAACTGAACTAGAATTGAACTAGAACTGAAAACTAGAACTGGACTGAAATTGAACTTAGAAATTGTAACTAGAACTGAAACTAGAACTGAACTTAGAATTGAACTAGGAACTGAACTAGAACTGAACTAGAACTGAACTAGAATGAACTAGAACTGAACTAGAATCTGAACTAAGAACGGACTAGAAACTGACTGACTAGAACTGAACTAGAACTGCACTAGACCTGAACTAGAAACTGAAACTAGAACTGAACTAGAACTGACTAGAAACTTAACTAAGAACTGACTAGAACTGAACTAGAACTGAACTAGAACTAACTAGGAACTGACTTAGAACTGAACTAGAACTGAACAGAACGAATAGAACTGAACTAGAACTGACCTAGAACTGAACTAGAAACTGAACTAGACTGAACTGAACTGAACTAGAACTGAACGAAAACTGAACGAGAACTGAACTAGAACTGAACTAGAACTGTAACTAGAACTGAACTAGAACTGAAACTAGAACTGAACGTAGAACTGAACTAGAACTGAACTAGAACTGAACTAGAACTGAACTAGAACTGAACTAGAACTGAACTAGAACTGAACTAGAAATGAACTAGAACTGAACTAGAACTGAACTAGAACGGAACTGGAACTGAACTAGAACTGAACTAGAACTGAACTAGAACTGAAACTATAACTGAACTAGAACTGAACTAGGACTGAACTAGAACTGAACTAGAATTGAACTAGAACTGAACTAGAACTGAACTAGAACTGAACTAGAACTGAACTAGAACTGAACTAGAACTGAGCTAGAACTGAACTAGAACTGACTAGAACTGAACTAGAACTGAACTAGAACTGAACTAGAACTGAACTAGAACTGAACTAGAACTGAACTAGAACTGAACTAGAACTGAACTAAACTGAATTGGAACTAGAACTGAACTAAGAACTGAACTAGAACTGAACTAGAACTGAACTAGAGCTGAACTAGAACTGAACTAGAACTGAACTAGACTGAAACTAGAACTGAACTAGAACTGAACTAGGACTGAAAAGAGCTGAACTAGAATTGAACTAGAACTGAACTAGAATTAACCTAGAACTAAACTAGAACTGAACTAGAACTGAGCTAGAACTGAACTAGAACTAGAACTGAACTTGAACTTCACATCCCCAACCCATAGTGCATTCACAAAACTACCATATAGCTATAAGCAATACAAAATACACACACAAAAAAAGTCAAATTAAAAGAATGAAAGGAATAGAAAAAAAATCGTTAAGCCTTTTTTAAAATGCATACCATTTGTGGCTGGTTGGCTAGTGATGTTTGGGCTAGGCTTTAGAAATTGCTTTATTAACTTTAAAGTTTTAAGCTGTTCTTTGTGGACTTGTAAAGTTTTGAAAAATGAACGCATTTCCGTTTCCCTCTGCATAGCTATTATAAAAATTTTTTGTACACATGGATGACGTTAAGTTTATATAAACGGCAAGGCTCGATGACTATTTGGCCGGTTAGAATCTTGGTTAACTTTCCTCCTCCTCCTGTTGCTGTCTACCGAGTGTTGACATTCCTAT